ATGCTGGGTGATCAGGATGTGAGACTTTACCAGTCATTTACCTTGAGAGTCTGTCAGCTTTTGATGGCATCAAATGACTTAGATAAAGAATAGTGTGAAAGCAGCAGTCTATAATCTGCTGTGAATAATTTCATTTAGAAAAAGCAGTGAAATCCTAAATATTTTGTTTACTATGCTGTGCTGTTCACTTATGGTTTCATCCACTCTTCATAATCCATCAAAAGATAGAAGTCCTCTAACATGAATCTGCAGTGCCGGCATAACATCTGTTCATAATATACCGCAAATATCCAGCAGAGTATCTTTTTGGAAGAAGCATATGAGAATTGACAGTTGAATACCTACCAAAAGAAGCCCTAAAACAGATACAGAAATTGTATTTAGCTAGATCTTACGCACCTCCAAAGCACAGGGCAGTTGCTTGTTTTTCAAGTAGAGGTGTGCTTATAAAATTAAGTATATTAGTGCCACTGGAAATGAAAGTCAGAGGTTGACCATGCTAACAATTTTATTACTCCAGTTTATATAACCAGTGTTCCAAATTTTTAAATACTCTATTTTCACTAAAATTGGCCTGCATAGCTGACAGTATGGTTTTATAATGCACAATATGCTACTTAAATAGGTCACATCTTTAAGATTCTGTACTCCCTGAAATTCTCTTAAAATGTTGTCACCATTCACACCTTGGTTACTTAAAAACTGTCATTAAATAAAAATACTATACTTGTGATTTTCCTGCTAAATGTAATTGAACGTTCTATCTCTGAAGCATAACAAAGTTTTGGCCTGTCTGTGTTTTCTTAAACTAATTGAAGACTTTGAAAGTGTGTATCTCTAATACAATAAATATTATACTATAATACTGTCATGATCAATTAATCAAAAAAATTAGCTGCCTAAATTAATTGAACTAGCAGAAAAAGCTTTGTCTGTCATGAGAAAACTTTGAAACATGATCCTTTCCTCGAGTTCAACTCCTAAACTCTTCCATTTATTATTTTCTTGTTGTTTTCCTGAGTTGTTCAATGTGAAACTTGAATAGTTTGTAAATGTATTAAAAAATAACAGTAGTAATAATTACCATGTTGTGGTAGGATTTTAGGTTGAAGAATTCATACTGAGATTTAATTTAAAATCTTTATCTTTTCAGAAGAAATTACTAAATATTTTTTAAAAAGTTATTTTTCCATTACCAATTTTAAACTGCTGCACTGAAAATTTATCATGAAATAATGCATTCATTTATGCTTGTTTTCAAGGTAACAGTTTATCAGAATAACAGAAATCAAAATATTTAAAATGTTGTAAATTCTCAATTTATAAGGGTAAGGTAAACACTAATTCTGTAAAACACTAGTTGTCTTTCATGAGCATGGAATTGAATGCATTCTTCGAAGGAAGAAATATAAAAATATTACTCTCTTTGGTAATAATACATAGCTTTCCTTTAAAGAAAAGAATAATAGACAAATGTTTGCTAATTCAGCAAGTATGTTTACAACATGGAGTCTTTGAACTTGAGCTGTCAGTTTACACATATCAAAGATCCCTGCTAATTTAAAAGGGAAGAAAACCATTGAGTACAATAGTGAGAACTGGCTTTTTCCCTTCGTTCCTTCCTCCCTCCTTCCCTCCTTTCTTCTCTCCCTCCCTCCTTCCTCCCCTCCCTCCCTCCCTCTTCTGATCTCTCACAGAATAATAACCCTCATTTAGTGACATCAGTCATTTTTGCATCAGCCTTTTTATGGCTGGAACAGAAGATTATGTGTGGAATAAGCATGAGTGGCATTCAGACACAAATGTGTGAACACTTCACAGATTTTGATAATACAGTGGCAAATGTGTCATGAGTTTGTGTTAACATTAGCTGAGAAATGGAAATGGATGCAGTAATTTGCACAGCAATTGCAGTTCAGCCCCTCCGGCCATCACTGGGCTGTGAGTATTTACAAATGTAAACCCATGCAGTGTCAAACCTTGAGATTGGTGAACTGCACCCAGTGGGTTTTGGTAGTGAGCGCAAGGAGGGCAAAGCTTACAAGGGCCATACAGCCATGATCCTCTATTCATTATACTGTGAGGTTCTGCTACCTTTAAATAGCATTGAGTCACTTATATGAGTTAAAAAAAAAGAAGTTATCTTCCTAATATCCAGTAAAAACTAAGATGGAAGCAAAATGTATAAACCACCATAGGTAATACTGGGAGTTACTAGAATTTTTCTGATTTATTCCTGCTAAAGATCTGACTAAAGGGAATGTTCTTATACTTTCTGGCTGCTCAAACTGAACACTTGAATAGATGATAGCTTTGAAGATATCATCTGAAGTATTGCACAATTAGCATGAATAATTTTGAAATATTCTGTTGTTGTAACAGATCTTTAAATGCCTCTTGAATGGGCCATGGTGTTTAGAGCCAAACTATTCAAAAAACCAGCAAGCTTGTACATTTCCATTATTTAGTATCACAAAAATTGTCATTTAAAGTGGTGACTGAATAATAGCTCCCAAAGAGTGATCTAACCTTGGCTGGATTTTACTTCAGAGTCAGACTACACCTCCAAAGATTGCACTGCAGGGTAGGAGGAATGAAGAATTGAATTTGCAGGCAAATATGGCCATGTGAAATACAAGGAATTTTTTTCATTGCACCCACTTTCCTGAAATGTTGGCCAAGTTTTGGACATGTTAATAACAATCTGCTTGTGAATTCTGATATATTGTAAGAGGAAAGCCTTTTTAAATTTGGAGATGTTGTTTGTTTGGAGATTTCTTACACCCTGTGAACAGCTCACTTATCCTGATATCAAATTGACATAATTAATTTAGGATTCTTTAACTGTTTTCAGCAAATACTCCCTCACACTTTACTGTTCTAATCATTCATTTGATGATTTTATTATAGTTGTGCATATGGACTCTCATTTTTAGAGATTACTGATTTAATGTTTTCTCCAGCTTACACCGTATAACACTATTTTTGATGTAAAACTGTATTAGGGTAATGTGTGTAGCATTGCACATAGCATTTGCTGACTTTTGAGTCAACTTGCTTTGAGGTTGTCTGTAGGGTTTTACATATGGTGGCTGGCAATTTCTTCCTGTTTGCATATTCCTGATAGAAGTTTATTACTTTTCAGTAGCTGGAAAGTATATAGTATAGCACACATTAGACTCTCGTATTTAGTTCCATCTCCATTTCAGTTACAGACCTTATTGCTATAATTAAGAACTATACAATTTGTGCTTATTATTCTATATACCTTGAATGAGTTCTGTACTCCTTTCACTTTTAGCGCACTCCCCAAGGTAATACAAAATAATAACATACCATATGGCAAATGGAATCAGCTGTAACACCACACAGCGTCTTTTATCATGTAGCTTTTACAATATGACATTCCTAAGTTTGTAACTGATGAATATTGCATGTCCCAGAGAAACTCTAGCTGTATTATGCTGCTTCTATCCCATTAGAGGCATCCTTGCTGATACTCTGAGCCTTTTTTTTAACATAAATGCAGCAACTGTCATTTTGCAAGAATCAACAGTGTATAAAGGAATAGGCAGAATGTCTCAACGTGTGGTAATCTTGCTAAACTGGAAAAAGTTAGCATGGACAGAATATTGCATTTTTATGAATTGTGCAACACATAATTGATATGATGTAACAGTAATAATGAGTTTCATGTAGTTCGGCAAGCTTGACTGGGGATTTCTGTTTGTTTGTTTTTAATGTCTGTATAGCTCCTGGAGATTCATAGAATGTGTTATTTCAGTAATGGATTTCCATAGGTTTGGAGTCAATTATCTGAAAACTGCCGTCTGGAAGCATTAGATGCTGTTCTATGAAAGTTAAATATAAGCATAACATAGGCATTTTGTACAAGGGTTAAGGCACTTCTAAAAGGCCAAACTCTAAAGGGAACTCTATTTTGTGGGTATACTAAATGGATGGAATAAGCTGATGGTGTTAATCAGGAATGTGAAACCCTGTAAGTAACCATTTCTTAACAGTTGACATGTATTGGTACACCAGTATCTCATGTTAGCTTTAGTTTTGTGAGTGGAAGGGAGAGGTAAGGATTAAGCAAACAGATAGGCAAATGTTGGATGCCTAATGCTCAGTAATGAGTATTTCTTTCCATCTTATGCTTGTGGCAAAAATGTAATTTTAATGTATTCTAAAAGTAAGCATATCTAAGAAGTTAAGAGAATGTTTCTGTCACAAACAAATGCATCATGGAGCATGCAGTTGTCTTAGCTTCCGGGATTGTTCTAGGCTGTAGAGAATGTACAGTCCCCGCCACATTTACTGCTCCCACTGTGTCTCTTCAAGTGGTATAGCAACTTTTCTCCAAAGCAGGGGAGCAGAGGATGAATTGTTGCTCACTGTTCCTCCAGCTTTGCTCTTTGGTAAATATGCTTTTACTCCTCTCTAGTCAGGCTAAGGAAATAGAACTGTGCTCAAGCTCTAGCTGAACTTTCCGCCTGTCACCAGTGTAAGAAGGGAGAGGTAGGTCATAACACGTTGCTTTTCTGCAGTGCACATGTAATGCCCCAAGAGATCAGTGCTAGGATACAATAAGGCTTGAAAACTTTGAATTGATTTGTTGAGAAAGAAAAGTATCACACATAGTACATCTCTCTTTTACTCCTTTGTAAAAATATTACTTGTTTGGTTTTCTGTAGGAAATAGTACAATGTTTTACTTAAAATAAAATAAAACACAGAACAGTGGTTTTATTAAAAGAAATGTAAAATACCAGTATAGTAAATATTTGCACTGAGGAAAATGGCAGTTTTGCTCAAAAAGGAAATTAATTGTGTGAGTGGGTGTAAGTAGGGTATTTGTGTGTGTGTGTGTACATATGTCTATAAACACATAATAGCAGTAATTCTCAGAAATACTAGGAAGTGCAAGATAAGCATAAACTATTTGATATGATTCTTTGTACAATTTACACTTTATTCAGAATCACCTGAATTCCTTACCTGTTTTTTTAGAAACTGCTCTGTCTTTTTGTCCGTAATTTTCCTTTCTTGATTATCTGCATCATATCTACTGCCATTCTCCACTGTTTGCTTGCCTCCTTGTCACATATGAAACCAGTTCAGACTGTATATTGATAAACCTGCATTGACAAATATCCATGAGTTACATATGGGCAAATAAAAGACTTTTTAAAATTACTCTTCTCTTTGTTTTCCACAAAAACAGAGATAGAACAAAAAGAGAGTTGGGGTCAAGTTCTGGTGTAATCAGTTTGCACATGTGAAAGCTGCCATATTTTTATATTGCTAACCATGTAAATCCACACACAAAATCTATTTTTATAATTTTTTTTTTTAAATATGTGGCAACACAAACACATTGAAATAATATAAGTGTTGTCTTACAACACAAAACATGAGCATATGAGAAATAGAAATCACTAGTATTTGGCAAGTTGTCCTTTGGAAGCCCTAGCAAATACCTTCAGAGTGACCAGTCATATTTAGAAGTGCCACAGATTAGTTTAGTTGCAGCATTTATCTGTTTTCTTTTAGGCCTGATGTTGAAGTTTACAACAAGTTGCCTATCTGAGACACTTCTGCAGAATTCTGATCAGGCTGGCAAGAATTGTCCTTGTATTGTAAATGGCGATTTTCTAAACTGCAATTTAAAGGTTTGTCTATTTCCTTTTCTGTGTTATCACTCCTTGGTGGGTTTTTTTGCCAGCACTTATTCCTGGCTTTTCCCCAATTCCTAACAGTCCTTCCTCCATCTCTTATGCCTCTTTTCCCCACCTTCGGTTTTGAACAGTCATGCCTTTAGGCAAGAGTTTGTAAATTAAGATTGTATTGTCCTGTTTTATGAATTTAGCTATTCCCAACATTCTCATTTCTAATTGTCTGACTTAATTAAGCTCAAGATAGTTATAAACACCTGTATGGGGAATTTGTGCATGATTATTTTAAATGACATAGTTTTGTCATACAAGCAGGTATGAAAAATAATTACAATGTGGGAACATATAATGGTGCCAAGGAATTTTAACTGAATTAACTATAGGCACTATGGATATATTTCCTAAAATGAAAAGCATATCTTTAAAATAATTTCCACATTCATGGGGATCTTATTTTCTTGAGAAGGACAACAGCCATATTAATTGGCCCTTTTCCAGTAGGATTTATGTCAGAACGAAGCAAAAAGCATAGGAATACTTAAAATGGCTTCCTTTAAATGATGAAATTTGTTCTATCCTTTAATGCATGGAGTCCTTGAGTGTTCAGTCTCAAGGACTGCACAAGCCTCTGCATAAGTGTGCCGGTGACTGAGCCTGGACTGGCAGCCTTCTGTGGCTTAGAGACATGCAAATATAGTATGGTGGACAGAGCACTGAATAAAAGATGAACTTAGCCTAAAATCAGCAGAATTTGGGTCCATGTTTCCCTTTGTCTCCCTGCCAAATAGTTTTACAGATAATAAACACGGTCAACAAAATTCAGTTATGACAAGTAACAGTTAGCTTGTGCATCATTTATCACAGAGTTCTGCGATTAGTCACATCTTCACATGCTTTAACGTGAAATATTTGTCACCTTTGAGCATGCCATGTTTTATTAAGGTGTCCAGCTTTTCACAGGGAGGATATTAAATGAAAAGCATTCTAATTTGTCTGGAAATTCATGCCATACACCAAATACCATGTTTTCTGTGATTAGTGAGCAGGAACCATCTGCCATGTCCCCACCCCCACAGTACTGAGGAAAGCAGAGGCTGAAGGTGAGAAGTATATTTACTTTTGACAACAAAACCAGCTGTTGCCATTACTTTTAGCTGTAAGGCAAACATGCTGGAAAAGGTGACTATCTATTGTGATTCCTGTGCACTGGGAACAACTATGACTGTTGATGACAGCAAACCTCTTAAAATCCAGAGGAAAATTGCTTTATGACATATGCCAGGAGGGCATGTACAAACACAGCTCCAGCCAGGAGCTGGAACCAAGAAGCAGAAACTTCCAGCTAGAAAGTATCTGAATGAGTTAAAATAAGAATCTCCCCCTTCTCCCACCTTCCTTTTGCTAGAAAATTAAACTGGAAAAGAGAACTATTTTTCTCTAATGATAACACAAGATTCTGAAATTAATCACAGCAGGTAGAAACATCCAGCACGGATTTTAAAAGATATTGCATATTCATATGCTGAAATGTTTTCCGTTGCCGACAGCTAACCATTCCAAGTGGAGAAGGTACATTCTCTGCTGTTGTTCATTCTCTGCCAATTTTCCTTCTTAAAACTCTGGCACCATATTTTGGGGGGCTGTGTACTCTAATCTGTTATTCTTACCATCATCCATCAGAGTAAGAAAGATATTTACAGAGCTGACTCATTTTGACTTTGAATAGCATTGCAGCAAATAGCTATATTTTCAAAATTTTTGAGAAAGGGAAAAGGGGTATTTCTTCACTAAAAAAACTTTACTTCCTTGTTACCTTCTTTCATATCATACAAGGAGAGCACTGTGCTATGGTGTGAATGTACCTAGAGCATATTTCAGGAGCAAAATATAAACATTGGCAGCAAAGGACACTTTATGCAAATGCATTTCCTGAGTGATGGCTCTTCCTCCCTGATGATTCTGGCAAGACATAATAATTTGGGAAAATAAGTGGAGTGCCCTGCCCTTCAGCTCTTTTCTCTAGAGCATGCACATCCCCTTGCAAATAGGATTATGACAAAATAAAAGGTTCATTTGGACGGGAGCACCTTTTAAAATATATTCAATATATCACTGTAGAAAATAGTAGAGATAAAGCAGAGCTATAAAAGACACACTTTTAGGAAGAGAAAACAGACCATCATGCCTAACTCTATATTGCACTCATTTTCCTTTTACAGCCCACCTGTCAGTCCTGTTATCTTTGTCTAGAAAAGAATTTACAGTAAGTCTCTGCTTCAATCAGTTTCCATGGTAACTTGGTTCTGTTTTAAAACCTTTACATAAAAATGGCTTGGTTAAAATGATAATGGGCTGCAATGCTTGCCTGTACCTGAACTACACCTTTCCTGTTGCTCAAAAATAATCAGACAGGGGTGTCTCTCTATCTGCTCTAGTTCCTTTGGTTTCTACAACACTGTCTCACTAACCAAGTTAGATCAGTTTCTTTGCCATCTGGAAATCTCAGTTTTCAGAGATGTATAGAGTTCAGGGTACTGACTTGTGTTTACACATTGAGTGCTGTGGAGTAGAGCATGTTAGGGTTTGGAGTCTTGAGTTCACTGGAGAAGGATCCCTCTGTGTGTACAGTCCCTATGGCGGGGGTGAAAGCTCCAAGGACCATAGCATCCGATAAGAAATGAACCAGAAGAGGCAGAGTGTCTCCCTTCTAGAAAATGCTTTTCATAAAGGTAGGAAAAAAATTTCCCTTTGGGCCAGATCAAGGAGAAATAAAAGATCAGAAAAAAACAAATTAAATTTTTAATTGATTCTAGGAATCTTGAGATGCTATCCCATCACTGTGGATATGTATGTTTTATTCGACCTTTAGTTATCCCTCATCCTAATTTCAGGCTCATCTCTTGCACTCATAATTTCTGATTCTCTGGCCCAGTTTGACTTTGTCTTTGACAGTCTTTTTCATAATTTTGATTACTTCTTTATACTGTCTCAAATCTCATCTAGGAAAAAATCAGTATTATTTTTTATGTAACTTAAATACTTCAGTGCTAACACAAGTTTCAGTTACAGGGAAATCTTAAAAGAATTTCTAATGTGGATCTGATAGAGCTCTTCAGCAATTACCATGAAAACTTAATGCATTTCATAGAAGATGACACCTTCCCTGTGATATCAAAAACTCTTAAACTTCTATACTAGATCTGCTCTGCTAAGTTGTATCAGAAAGCTTAATATTTATATAGGAAGTTTTTTGTTCTATAGGAGGCACTGATAGAATTTATGAAAAATAATTTTACACTGCTATATCTTCCAGGCAGGCATTCCAAAAGCTGCGGAATGTAGGGATGCACCAGTTAATTTACAACTCAGTTTGTCCGAAGACTTGGTAAAGATCTCATGTTTTGGCATGGGACAAAGCAATATTTTCCTGGGATAAGTGGTTGCCCAGCTGGTCCCTATTAAACATCTTAGCAGAAGCAAGTCCATGTTTGCATTGTGTTTTGTAGTTTGGATAGTATGAGATACCACCGCCTTGTCCTTAGCAATACACAGAAGGGCACTGCTCAGTGATTTTTCACGTCTTCTCATTTCTGAATGGCACTACTATGCAAGGTGTATGCATGCTGTATCCTTCATATGGGTTTACTTTTGCATAGACTAAACTTTGATTGTCATCTACTGATTCATCTAGATAATATGATCACCTTGAAATTCGGTTACAATTTAAAAGGAAGGAATCAGTATCCTTATTCCAAACCAAATAATATGGGCATACTAGAAGTTCTAGTTAGACCTACATAATTCCTCCCAAAATGACTTGAAAAAGCAGGCTTTCAAATGCATTTTTTCCACCTCTTATTTTTAACTAGCAGTTTCATTTATTCCCTATGTTGTAACACTGTCCTATAGACATTAATTACTGAGGGTAGGGCATTGTCAAATCAGGGTACCATAAATCTACTGAATTCCTTTCATCAGTCATGGCAATAACATCTTCACTGTACTCCTGTGTGTCAGTAAAGTGTGACCTTCTCTGACTGACCTGTGCAGGCTAAGCTTAATTGAATTATGCTTTTCCAGTGGACACTTTAACTTTCACACAATGATTTTTTCAATAGCTGACCAACTGGTCCAACCAACTGGTCTCCAGTTTCCAGATGAAATAAATAACATATGATGATTTGCAGAATGCAAAAAAGTAGTTACTTATTTTTAATCCTTTTAACCTCCTTTAACTTAATCAAACAATTAAATATGCTTACACTTTCCATGGTTTTTTATTCCTTTGTATAAAAAGGACTGATTCTGTGCTTCTTTTCATCATTGTAGCATTATTGATTCCATCCTGATGCTAATCTGTGCTCCAGAAATAGTGTAGTTTGATGTGAAAACTGATCATACTAGTTGGTTCCTTGAGATAGGAAATGTCTTCTTAGGCATGGTTATTATTGTATTTAATTAAT